GGTGGTCCCCGATGGCCTAATTAAGGTGGCCTCCAGCACGGAACACTAGCGCTCAAGATGACACAAACTGGTCTCGAGTATGCCTCCAGGAAGCTGCTAGACAGCCCGACGACAATTCCCAAAGGCCTCAAGGCCAACAACAAATATCCCCAAACGCCCAACATCCTGTAAAAACATTCGGCTGCTTGCCCAACTGTTGTTATCACACCACCTTTCCGCTTCCGATGGGCTTCTGGAGCCGCAAAGTGGCTACAAGACCGCCAAAGAGCCCCAAGAGGGGCTCAAAAGAACCTAGCACGGCCCCAAAGGATGTCAGGTACACCCCAAAAGCGTCGCAAAATATCTCCGGGAAGGCCGCGCATTCGTGGTCTTCTTAGGGGCTTTATGGCGGTCCTGTTGAGGCTCTTTCCGGGCCCTCTCGATGCCATATTGGAAGGCATCGAACACAAAAGAGGGGAGTGCAATCAAGCTCCCCTCGCTGGGGAAAGGCAAATCGACAAAGAGAGACTCCACAATCCTCCCAGAGCGAGAGATCCGAGCAGGCTTTTATGGTCGACTCCGCTCGCCGTCGTCGCCACCACCTTCCACCACTCTCCTCCTCTTCCTCCTCCTCCTCCTCTCCCTCATCCTACTCCTCCTCATCCTTGGGCGCCCGAGTTATCCGGGGTAACTCGGGTCCGGGGTAACTCGGGTTTGGATTCCCGAAAAAGGAACCCGAATTAGCCCTGACCCGAGTTCCCCCTGATGATTCGGGGCTCTGGGCGCCCGAGTTATCCGGGGTAACTCGGTTCCGGGGTAACTCGGGTTTGGATTCCCCAAAAACGAACCCGAGTTAGCCCTGACCCGAGTTACCCCTGATGATTCGGGGCTCTGGGCGCCCGAGTTATCCGGGGTAACTCGGTTCCGGGGTAACTCGGGTTTGGATTCCCGAAAAACGAACCCGGGTTATCCCTGACCCGACTTACCCCTGATGATTCGGGGCTCTGACGATCATCCTCCAGTCTAGGGACCACCTGAAATTGAGAGGGCGCGTGCTCCGTCAAATAAAACAGGCTCCGTCGGCTCGCCCCTGTCGGCGTGCGTGAGGGGCCTGTCTGGTCCCGTCGACGGGACGCCTTTTCTGTTTATCCTTCCCCGTTGGGAGGGAGAGACCACTCTCCCGTCGTCGTCGTCGGGGGAAGGAGTCTGGGGATTGCGAGCAATCGACCCACGTCGTAGTCATGTCAAAGGACAGCGTAAAGGGAAGCCCCTTCCCTTTGTCCCTTCCCAGGCGGGGGGGGGGGTCCCAGGGGGGGGAGGGTCAGATTCGCATCGCCCCTGGGGGTCCTCTCCCACGCCGGTCTTTCCCCGGCGCGCCGGTCCTCCTCGGATCCTCCTCCCCAGGTGGGGAGGAGTCCCAGGGGGGGGAGGGGAGTCAGATACGCATCCGTCCCTGGGGGTCCTCCTCCCCTTCCCCTCCCCTCTCCCACGCCGGTCCTCCTCCGGTTCTCCTCCCCAGGGGGGGTGGTCCCAGGGGGGAGTCCTTTTTCTCCTCCTCCTTCTCCTCCTCCTCCACCTCCTCCGCCTCCTCCCCCTCCTCCTCTTCCTACTCCTCCCCCTCCTGATCGTCGTCGATGTCTTTCAGGGTCGGCGGCACCGGCCGTCAGGCCTTCACAATAAAGCAGGTTCCGTCGGCTCGCCCCCTTCCTCCTCTTCCGCGGCCTCCTCCTCCTCCTCTTCTTCCTCCTCCTTTTCCTCCTCCTCGTTCTCCTCGTCGTGTTCTGCCGACAATCGTCTTCCTCCTCCTTTTCCTCCTCCTCGTTCTCCTCGTCGTGTTCTGCCGACAATCGACGGAAATCGCCTCGTTTCTCTCATCACCCATCCTTCTCTTCTTCCTCCTCCTCCTTCTCCGCCTTGTTTTGAACTATCCACGAGGGTATCGGTGGTTCATTCCTGGACTGCGCGCTGCAACACCTCCTCACAGGGGATCATTTCCGGATGGCCTAGTGTGGGCGATGCGTGACGCGTCATCAATTTTGCTAGACGGGGTGACGTGGTATATGGCCAGACCGGGGACAAAATAACATCCTCCAAGACCACGAGACCCTCCGCCGGCCAAACTGAAGACCATTCGATGGTACCCTCCCCCAGGATCACAAGAGCATTCAACACACACGTAGAACATCAGGGGTACCCTCCCCGAACCGACCTCGATCTTGTACCTCAGTCAGTACTACCATCAGGAATGCCAAATAAGGAACGATGCCCCTCTCAAGTCCCAGCAGCGGCTGGGTGCACGAGGAGTGCTGGAGACACGTCCATGGAAGGGGAACCGAGGAACATCGAGCCCCTTCCAGGCTCAAACTGATCCTTGATTCAGCATCTTGACTTGCAGTAGATGGCAGACCATCCACCCCGATAGTGACCACTCCGACACGCGAAGCCGTCTAGGAAACGCTCCGAAAGAAGGAATCAATCAGGGCAAAGTTTTTTAGTAAACGCCCAAACCCGGATAGTAAACGCTAATTGTCCGCTCTGGGTGGTTTTCAGGAGCGGCCAAGAGGGGGGGGTGTCCAAGAGGGGGGGGGTGCAAATCCGCCGACCCCGTGGGTCATCGGCGTGTGAGATGCTTCCCCCTCCCCAAACCCCTCCCCCGGGAACCCGGTCCGGTCGATTTGGAGGGGGGGGGGGGGCCACCACGAGCGACTCACGACGCTCTTCCGGGCCCAAAAGGGCCCAAATACGGGCCAAGAAGGCCCCAAGAGGCCTCCCAGACGTTCCAAGAGGGCCCCAGACGCCCCAAGAGACCGCCTAGACGCCCTAAGAAGCGCCCAAGAGGCCCCAAGAGGCTTCCAAGACGCCCCACGATGGCTCCAAGACGCCCGAAGAGACCTCCAAGACGCCCCAAGAGACCCTCAAGAGGCCCCCGAGGAGCGCCCCAACAGGCCCAGATCGTTGATTTTCATTGGTTTTTTTCTATGTTTTCGTCATTTTCGCCTTTTCGGCTTTCCGCCGCTCCAAGACAGCCCAAGAAGCTCCCAAGACTGCTCCAAGACGGCACAAGAGGCTTCCACGACGCCCCCAAGACGGCCCAAGAGAGCCCCCAGACGGCCCAGGAGCCGCCCAAGGCGGCCCAAGAGAGCCCCCAGACGGCCCAAAAACCGCCCAAGACGGCCCAAGAACCTCCCGGAGACGGGCCCAAGAGGGGCTCCAGAGAGAGACCACGCACCGGAAAACCCAGCCTTACGTCCCAAGAGGCCCCCAGGAGGCCCCCAGAGGCCCCAAAGAGGCCCCAAAAACCCCCCAAGAGGCCCCCAAGACGTTCCAAGAGGCGCCCAAGAAGCCACAAAGAGGTCCCAAAACGGCCCCCAAGAGCCTTCGAAACTGCTCCAAGAGGCCCGCAAGAAGCCCCCCCGCAAGATCCCAACGGACATCCCTGAACACACCGGTTTTTCGAGTCGCGCCCAGCCCCATAACCCGGAGCCTCATCTCAGTGTCCCCTCCTCCTCCTCTTCCTCCTCCTCCTCCTACACTTCCTCCTCGTTCCCCTCCTCCTCTTCCTGCCCCGCTTCAGCTCATCCTCACCGATGCTTCTCCCCCCCCATTTTCCGCCTCACCCCCCATCCTCCTCTTCCCGTCCTCCCTTTCTGCCCAGTACGCGCAACCGATTGGGCATCATTTGCACGTCTTGCACTTTAGGGTGCCCTTCTTTGCGTCGCGCGGGACATTGTGAGGGTCGGGGAACGCCGACTTTGGTAGTCCTCTCTTGCACGCGCCGCTGCACTGATAAGCCTGGCAACTGCGCGCTGTGAACCCGAGTTCCTCGCAGCTTCTGCACACCAGTTTAGCTCCTTTCGCCGCTCGATGATGTTCCACTTGCTTCTGCTTCAAATGTTTCGTGTCCGAGAACGCGCCTTTGCACGCCGCGCACGTCAGCGGCTTCGCGTCCGCCTCTGCTTTCCGCTTGCGATTCTCTGCATCCGCCTTCTCGTTCCGCCCACCCTTCTCGTTGCGGGCGCACGCCCTGCAAAGCCTCTCCCCCGCATCTTTCGAGTCGTACTGGTTCGCCGCCACTTCCGCCTCCGTCTTCAAGAAATTCTTGCACTTCGCGCACCGAATCTGGACTTTCTCCTGAATCTGAGAGGCCTCTGAACCACAACTCAGGCACGGTGGCGGGATGGGCCGACTACTGGGAGGAGGAGCAAAGACGACGACGATAGGAATGCGGGGGATAAAGTCGGGCCATGACGCCCCCAAGACGTCCAAGATTGCCTCCAAAAAAAAACAAGGGGTCGGCGGTGTGGCGTAAGCCTAAAGAATCATGACCGGCGGCACGTGCGCGGCCCAGCGGGGGGGGCCAGGGACGTAACGAAATAAGAAGAGGCGCCATGAGATCTGGGAAACATCATGGCCGCCGCCATGATGTCCCCCCCCCCCTAGTCATCCCCCCCCTCTGTTCCGCCCCCGAGGTGTTTCCTCCCTTGCTGCATGGCAGGCGCCGTCAGCCTCGAGTCGGTGAAAGCGGCCCTACTCGACATGCGCATCGGATCGGGCCGCACCGTCGTGGGATCGACGTCGGATCGGACCTTCCGCACCCGGGAAGATCGGCAGCGCCGTGCGAGCGTCTGGCCGCATCGAATCGGCCCAACATCGGGGTCGACTCGAATCGGGCAGCCCAGAAGCGGCAGCGAATCGGATCGGTCGGATCGAAACGGAACCTGCAGGGTGGGCGGGCACGTGGGCACAAGGGAAAAAGAGACGGAAGAGGAGGACTACTTGCACTGTAACTCGCGCCGCGGGAGAAAAAATGAGGTCGCCCTCTCCCCATCCTCTTCCTCCTCCTTGAGGAAGCAGAGCGGGGAGGGGGAGAGGTTGAAATGGCCCCGAGGGAGAAAATCCGGCATCTCTTCACAGGAAGACCCGCTTCCCATGCCAGTCTCCTGAGTGCACACAGCATTTGTGAGCACAATCTTACCGACGTCGTCGTCGCCGATGCTCACGATCCTGCCGCCTGCCGCCAGAGAGCCGATGTTGACCATGAGGATCTCCCCCTTCTTCAGCTTGGATACCTTGCCCGCCTTGGAGTCTCCCTCCGTCTTCACACCGAGAAGGCGGCGCAGGAGATAGTATTTGACCTCGATCTCGACGTAGATGTCGGGCAGCTTGCCTGCTTAAGCGAGACAGCAGGGAGGAGATGGCAGCAAGGGCCCTGGACAGAGGACGGGGGTTGCTGAAGGTCTCCCCAGCCCAAGGTACAGACCTCGGAAGCTCATGCCGCATTCATCTGTCAATGCGTCCCCCCCCCAGAGATCAATGTTGGCGGTGGGTTGAATGAGCTGCACTTCGACTGCAGTCCTCCCCGCGCGTGCCAACGTTGGTTTGGGGGGGCGGAGGAGTGTCCACGAAGTTTAAGTCGGGCCTGTCCTCCTACAGGGCGATTTTGGACGAAAACTTCACAATAGTAAAAAATACCCCCAGATTGTCAACAAATACTAAGGAAAACGTCCCGATACTATGCTTTACTATGTTTCCAATATCCCTCCTGCAGAGGGGCAGGCCCGACTTAGCACGAATTGTTTCCTTCTACCGCGTCCCCAATTTGACGCCCCACTCTTGGGTGTCCCAAAACCGTGTGGTGACAGACCCGGCGGCGACCTCGAAATCCGCAAAGACCTCCCCGCATGGTCCGTCACCACACGGTTTTGGGACCCTGGAGGTCCCAACCGCCCGAGACATCCTCGGAGAACGACCCAAGTCCCAAAACCGTGCTTGGGCGCCCGAATTATCCGGGGTAACTCGGGTCCGGGGTAACTCGGGTTCGGGTTCCCGAAAAACGAACCCGAGTTAGCCCTGACCCGAGTTACCCCTGATGATTTTGAGGCTCTGGACGCCCGAATTATCCGTGGTAACTCGGGTCCGGGATAAATCGGGTTCGGAATCCCGAAAAACGAACCCGAGTTAGCCCTGACCCGTGTTACCCCTGATGATTCGGGGCTCTGACGTGCGGTGACCCCGAACCCCCATCGACTCACCACACGGTGTGGTCACCACCCCGTTTGGGGGCCCCCGACATTCTGGAGCACCTGGGGCCCGCTGTGCCGCGCGAGGGGTGCTCCGGAGGCCGTGGTCGTCCTCTTGGGCCGAGGAGGAGGAGGAGGAGGAGGAGGAGGAGGAGGAGGAGGAGGAGGAGGGGGGAGGAGGAGAGGAGGAGGTGGAGAGGAGGAGGAGGAGGAGGAGGAGAGGAGGAGGAGGAGGAGGAGTGGAGATGGAGGAGGAGGAGGAGGGGGAGGAGGAGGAGGGGAGGAGGAGGAGAGGAGGAGGAGGAGGGGGAGGAGGAGGAGGAGGAGGAGGAGGAGGCAGGAGGAGGAGGAGGAGGCCGCGGTCGCCCTCTTGGGCCGAGGACGCCTTCTGACGGGTGTGTGTGTGTGTGTGTGTGTGTCGGCCCACTCCCCGGCTTGATGGGCTTCCTGGCTGCCGTGCACGTGCAAGAATTTTTGGGGCCCGACTCGGGGATGTACGAGGAGGGGGCGTCCATCCTAATACAAGGGCGCGTCCGTCCAAGCTTCCGTCTCCGTTGCGCGGCCAGTTTGCTTGGGAACTCTGGGGGACAAGAGGGAAACCACATCAAAACCGATACCGCTGCTCCCCAGGCCTTACGCAGAAGGCATCTATACACCACCACCATGCCAAGCTAGAACTATCCTGGCCCTGGCCTGGCGTAGTGGTGGTGTATAGATGCCTTCGTCGGAGACCTCTCCTGGGCACGCCCTGGCCCGAGTCCCGAGGCGCACCCCGCGGTGGCGACACTGGGGCCTCCGGGAAGCCCTCCAGGGGCGAGCGAAGAAAGGGTAATGCGGCATGGGCACCTTCTCTCGGGCGTTGGCAGAACTGCGTTTAGTGGAACCTAGACCGGTCTGTACCGGGGGTGCCCCCCCCCGCCAAATTCCACTAACCGGAACTGCCGTCACCCGAAAAACACCAGTTACGGCAAGCCTGGTTTAGTGAATCTGGCCAATTGAGGGGCCCCAGGGCCCTACCACTAACCAGGTCCCCTTACCCGGGGTCCTGGCTATACCCGATTCTCCTCCTCGGAGGCAGGGGGGGAGAGAGGCTGCCGGCGACCCGTGGCACCACCCAGGATGCGAGACCGTTCGGGCCGTTCGGGGATCCACTGTTACATCGGGCATGTCCCCCTACCAGGGGTACTCTGGGTGAGAAATTTGAAATCGCCCAAGAAACTCAAAAATAACTGTAGACGGACACGCCCGACTTAAATCTACTGACCCAGGTCAGCGTAAACTCGGGTCAGTCACGCTCTGCAAGATCCTGCAAGATCCTGCAGGATCCTGCGCCCTGACCCGGGTCAAACTGCGCCCCTGGCTCGACCGGATCTCGCGAGATCCGGCGCTCTGGCTGACCCCCAGGAGGAGGAGGAGGAAGAGGAGGAGGAGGAGGAGAAGGATGAGGAGGAGGAGGAGGAGGATGAGGGGGAGGAGGAGGGGGAGGAGGGGGAGGAGGGGAGGAGGAGGAAGAGGAGGAGGAGGAGGAGGAGGAGGAGGAGGAGGAGGAGGAAGAGGCGCCTCTTGAGCCCCGAGCCGTGGCACCCGAGAGCGGACCGGCTCTGCGGCAAGGCGCAGGCGCCGAGGAGGGCACGGTCCGCGCCCGTGACGCGCCGCCGTTCTTTTTGTTCGTCGGGGGGAACGCCAGGGGGCGGATTCGCTGGCGACTCGTGGGAGCCTCCCATACCATCTCGCCGGCTTCTGCGAATCGGCGCGAGCCGACGCCAGCTGACGCACGTCGACGCGAACTCGACGCAGACCGGCGCTGAATCGGCGCCATCTCGTCGACTCCCGGACGCCAATCGACGCCCAAGGCGTAATTGCGGGGGTATACGAGGCTGCAATGATTTGCTACCGAAGATAGATTGGCTCGGGGGGGGGGGAACGTCGACGTGGAGTCACTTCGACGACAGATCGGCGATGGGATCCCAACCGCGAGGCCCGACAGTCCTGGGCGGGGTGGGCCATCGGGCCCCATGTCGGCGATGAATGGTCGCTTCGGGGTCGATGCGTTCCTCCCTGGGCCTATAGCCCCCCGTCAACGTTGCCCCTTACCTCTCTAAGACATCCCCTGGACGTGTTCCGCTCGACCAGGACGGCAAGGATGCGCGGTAAGGATGCAGGATGCAAGGGCCTCTTCCGTGCCGAAGGGTGCCGAATACCGAAGGGGCAAGGATGCCAGGGTAGCCCTGGAGAGTTTCCCATCCTTCCTATCATGGTTGACTGTAGCTATTTCGTTACGTTTTTTGAAATAAAATCCTCAGAACCGACTGTCATCAGAGGCTGCATTTCTCTACTATGCACAACCAGTATAACGTGGTGAGTTGTTCTCAAGACGCCCAGAGGCATGGAAAGGCAAGGAGCAGGAGAGAGAAGGCAGACGAATAGCAGGATGCTGGCCTGGGTGCCCCATGACGTGTCCGAGCATACGGTCGCCGCGCGTCTCGGTGGGGTCTATCTTGGTCCCCACGCCGATGAGGCCTCCCAAGGCGGCGCAGGATGCAGCGAGTGGTGAGGAGGGAGACGAAGAAGGAGAAAAGAGGGCAGAACATTGAGAATAGGACGAGGCCTCCTGGGACTGCGAACTGCAGCGAGTTCTGCTCCGCTGCAAGGGAGAGGATCCGGGAGCGGATTGGCTTGCACGTGGTGTTGCCGTTCTCATCCTTGCCCGTGGTCCCAGGCCTTACCAAGAGATCCTCCTCCTACTCATCATCAGCATCATCACTACTACTACCACGCTCGCTATCACCATCATCATCGCCACCACCATCATCGTCATCACCATCACGAATCAGGACCATCACCATCACCACCACCAACACAAAAACCATCATCACCATCACCATCACCATAGCAGTCACGAGCATCATCACCATGATCATCACCATACCATCATCATCATCCTCATCCTCATCCTCATCCTCATCATCATCATCATCATCATCACCATCATCATCATCAGCAGCAGCATCATCATCATCACCATCACCATCACCATCATCATCATCATCATCATCATCAACAACACCAGCATCCTTATCATCACCACCATCATCATCATCGTCATCAGCAGCAAACACCTCATCATCAGCGCCAGCACCAGCGCCAGCACCAGCACCATCACCATCATCATCATCACCATCATCATCATCATCATCATCATCATCATCATCATCATCATCATCATCATCATTACCATCACCATTTGAGGGATGAAAAAACGACCCTACCCTGGGTTACAAGTGCGTGGTCTGTAAACCTCCTGGGAACCCCCAAAGCCTAGAGCCGCCAGGACGCGGCACATCACGCAGGGATTACCCTGCCAACCCACAGGAGTTTCAGCGCACAACGCCTCGTAAACCAGGGTAGGGGCGTTTTTTATACCTTTGAACCATCATCATCATTATCATCATCATCATCATCATCATCATCATCATCCTCATCCTCATCCTCATCCTCATCCTCATCATCATCATCATCACCATCATCATCATCACCATACCATCATCATCATCATCATCCTCCTCCTCATCATCATCCTCCTCATCATCATCATCATCATCATCGTCATCATCATCATCATCATCATCATCATCATCATCATCACCATCACCATCACCATCATCACCACCATCACAAGCAACATCACCATCACCATCACAAGCAACACCATCCTCCTTGATCCCCATCCCCCTCCTCCAGAACTCCCGCATCGGCCCTCGGACCTCTGCCGCAAGCGCACTGCATGCCCAGGGCTCCGAGAGACGCATCCGGCGGGGGCGACGAGGGGCCTCTCCCGGTGGGGCCCAGCAGGAGAGAGGGGCCGGCGAGCGCGCCCTCCTCCCATCTCCTCGTCCTTCCTGCCTCCTCTTCCCTCCCTCAGCATATCTTCCCTCCTCCCTCCTCCCCCTGGTTCCTCGCTCCTCCTCCTCCTCCTCCTCCTCCTCCTCCTCCTCCTCCTTTTTCAACTCGCTCCTCCTGCCGCACCTGGGTCGCCAAACTGCGCGACGTGTGGCCACCTCTGCGCCCTCGCGAGGCCACCCTGAAGAGGGGTGCTTCTCCGGCTCAGGCCGAGACGAGCGAAACGCAACCACGTATCTTCGCGTCCCGGCGGGGGACCTAGCCTCTTCCTCCTTCTCCTCCTCCTCCTCCTGATCCGTCTCCTCCTCCTCCTCCTCCTCCTCCTCCTCGTCCTCCTCATGTCCCTTCTCCTCGTTCCTCCTCGCCCCTTCACCCTCCTCCCTCCATCTCGCTCTTCTTGCCCATGACCCTAAGCCTGATTTCGATCTCGTCGCCCACCTTCAGAACGCCCTTAATGATGGACCCGCCGCACACGCCGCCCTTGAGTTTGTCCACCTCCGGAGGGTCGGGGGGAACGTGTGACCCTTCCACCCAGCACTTGCCAGTCCTTCTCCCTTCGACCACACGTGAGAATAGAGACAGCATGCGCAACATAAGAGGCGAGAAGGAGTCTGGACGTCGGGAAGTGATGAATGTATCAGGCTAGCAATAAAAGGGGTATCAGATATGTGGTTTCGGGTCAAACAGTTACGGAAGTGGCCCACCTCCTTGCTAAACTGCTCAAATCCAGGGGGTAAGAGCAAACCCCTCGCCAGACTAATGAGCCGTTGGCGTTCATTCTGACCCTCCCCCTGAAGTCGTGGACTTGAAACAAGATCAAGGAGAATGCCGCAACCACTGGCTGCAAAGAAATGGGGAACATTGACCGAGGCGGCAACATAAGTATAACTGCGTCGACTCCCTTTGGCGGTTCGCAGAAACGGGCGTGGCAACAGGTCTTGTTTTGCTGTTCTGAGCGTCCCGTGGATATTCTGGCCACACGCGTTCTCTCCCTGAACACTGCCAGCATTGAGACAACCTCCAGCTGGGTCGGGCAAAAGCAAAGGGAAGACGGACCAAACGCAACTCTTCAAGCTGCCTGTTCGATGTGGTTCGGGGTCGGCTCGTGGCCGCTGGATCCTCCTTGCGCCTTCCGCAGCGATTCATTTCCCGCCGTGAGCCGCAAGAGTCTTGACCGCTGGGTCAGTCATATCAAATTTGGTGGGACAGTAAAGTAAACAACCACCCGATGGCTGATCCAATGCGATCCATGCTGCTCCCAATCACAGCTAAATCTATCGCGGCTCGGCGATCTGACTTAGCCCCCGCGGTCATGTTGGAAAGTGTGTCGTGAAGACCTTTGGCGTCAACGGCGCTCGCGCTGTTGGCCGGATGAGGTGGACCTTGCATTTGGCGAGGTTCTGGGCGACGAAAGGGCCCAGATTTTCCCGCCAGCGATCGTTCACCACGTTCCCTTTGGTGACGTCCAGCAGGAGAGCCCGCGGCCTTCCTGCCTCCCCGAGAGCACTGGACAGAGCTGAGGTTTGCCCAGCAAGAGTAAGCGCCACCTGGCGTCGAAGCTTGCCACACCTCCAGGCGATGGGGGCAACGCGGGACTGGGGCCCATGGGCCAGAAAATTATCGGTTATGTAATTTTGCCGCGTTTCCTGGGCATGTTGCCGCCCACCCTTATCTTCAACTCCCACCCCGCCGCAATCACTAGCCGTGGCCAACACAAAGCCCATCCGTCACATAGCGCCAGACGATGGTCGAAACGGCGACCGTAGACCTGAGGCGTTCGACAATTTTGCTGGCGCCCAACAAGAATATCATCGAATACAACATTTACCTTGCTCGCCAGAGCTGAGACCGCGCCCGCGGCCTCCCCGCGGGTTCCTCGGCCCAGCCGGCGCAGCTTGCACGCCGGAAACCTGAACTCCGCCGCGTTCCCCCCACCAAAGGAGCATCGCGATCGCCCCGACGTCCCGGGGCCACAGGAGTCTTCTGCGCCTTAATTGTGTGCCATGATCGGCCCCCTGTGAAACCCGGGAGCTACGTGGCCCCGACAACGAGCCGATCCTGGAACGGGCACAGGTCATCTTTTTCCTTTTCCTTCCTGCGGATACCCTCGGGCAATCTCGACGAAACAGCAGGGCTACGGGCGAGTGCGCTCGAAGCCGCAGGACTGCTCGACATTCGCCGCGGTCTCGCGAAAAGCCAACGGCGCGTCGCCGAGGCCGCGCGCCGGCGCGACGGACTCGAGGAGCGAGCCGGGCGGAAGCGGGGCTCCGTCGCGCGATGCCACGAGCCCTCGCCCTCGAGCTCACCGTAGAAACTCCGACCGATAGAAGGCTCTTCTGATACACCCGATCTACATGGTGAGCTCATGTCATCAGCCGCAGGCGAGCGCGCCGACGGCATGCCGAGGTCCGAGCGGGCCGCGCGTGGCCCTAACTTACCAAGCACAAGCAGGCCTAATGCCGCGAGCTTATACATGAGGAGTGCCACTAAAGTGAGCATGAGGGCCTCCGTGCGCGGGGCAGGAGCGCGCGCCCGAGGCTCCGGCGCGCGCCTCTATCCTGGCGGCCCCGAGCACGCCGCTGTGATCTCGTTTGCTATGCAAGAAAGTCCCCCCCCCCCAGAGCTCCCATCCACGGACCATTCATCCTTGAAGGCTTCTACTGGGGAGCAGTCTACGAGGCTCCTCGGCCAAGTGACCGCGCGGCCTTCGGCGATGGTCCCCCGCTCGTCGGAGTCCGATATATCGAGCGGCCTGCTGTCTTCAAGGGCGAAATGCATCTACTGGACCTCCGCGCCTCGACTGATCAAGAGGGAATGGGGGTAGGCGGCCCCGTCCACGCGTGGAACGATCTCCACATTGGCGCTTCCACTGGCGCGAGTTTCCTGGGGCCGCTCCAACCTTTGAGTTGAAGATCCTGGTCGAGCTGAGCGAGAAAGTCAGCGCCCTCCTCTCGATTAGCGAGCAGGGCGAAAAGGTTTTCGTCGTCGCCCCCCTGGGGAAGGGGATCGCAGCCGGGGCGCGGGCTCGAACTCTTGAGCCTGCTTCCTAACCCAGCTCGCAGGAGCTCCCCAGAATGACCCCCCTGGAGTTCGCGAAACCATGATGCCCCTCCCTCCGTCCAGACGCCTACATCTTTCGGCATCCTGCATCAAGCGACTGAACCGACCTACTGGCTCCGCGGGGCGACGCTGGCTGGCTGAGCTGGACAGCGCGAGCCTGGGGGCGGCGGCCGGCGCTGGGAGATGCGGCTCGATGTGGAACCAGATTTGCTTCGCGCTGACGTCGCCGATGCGTCGCCGACGTCGCCGACGCATCGCCGGTGCGATCCTTTGCCCCCATCTACTCGGGCGCCTGGAGACCATGCTACTGCTGGGAGAAGCCCTCGCTGGAAGAATTGGCGCCCGCTCGGCGCGCGGTGGGCGGGCCTCTCTCAGGGGTTACTGGACGGAGGAAGTGGGATGGATTTCGGAAGCCCCGGCCAAACAAGAATATTCCGCAACAAATTTCCAGAAGAGAGATCGCATCGCGACCCAGTCCGCGGCGCCGCTTTGCAAGACGACTAACCCTGGACCCGCCAGCCGGCCTGTCTGGGGGGCAAAAATTTTCGGGGCCTCCCCCAGACGTAAGCTAACAGTCCCACGGAAGAATTCATATCCATGTCGACGGGTGCGCGGGCGGCTTGTTTGGTTGGACGTCTCGAACATATCGCCGGTTGGATATCTGCAGTCACTGGTTGGACGTCTCGAACAACTCCTTGCGCGCCAGCCATTCGATTGCGCCCCGACGGGCGAGCGCGGCTGCCGCCGCGCCCTGACCCCGGGGCCCCGGCGGGCGTCCGGGCCCGCCGCCCGCCGAGGACCGGCGGCGGCCATGTCGTCGGGGGCCCGAGGGCTGATGCCGAAAACCATATGACACGGCGCGAACCCCCCCCTTTGGAGGCGCCGCCCCTCGGCCGCCGTCACTTCGCGAACGCGCGCGTTGAGCTTCAGCGCGGCGTCGGCGGCGCCGCGCCGCGCGCTCGGCGACCCCAGCGGCGGGCATCTGAACCGCTGGCGAGCCCACTACATCATAGGCCGCAGCGGCGCTGCTTCGGGCGAAGGGGTGGGTAGGTGGGGGGCATTGCTACGAGATTCGATGACCCTCAAGACGTGCGTTAAGGCAGGTTGCACGCTGGTAAACGCACGCTGGGTAAACGCGCGTCCGCGCGCGTCGCAGAGCGCCTCCTCGGCGCGCTGGTGGGCGGTAGGTGCCGCGCGCGAAGTTCAGTGCGGAGTCCGCGGCTGACTAATTTTAAATGAGCTGGAGGAGCGCGCGCCCCCCGCGCACCGCGGGGGCCAAATTCTGCCGCGAGCCGAGCAAATAACTGATGGGACTGGCGGAACCGACGGATTGTTTACGGCACCAGCGGGGGCATTGCGTTATTGGCGGGAAAATTACGTCCGTGGCAGAAAGCTACGTCGGCTTCTCTGAACGACCGAAAACGCGATTGCATTTCTACGCCTACGCCAACAACCGCCCTTACAGACGGAAAAGGGGCACGTCAGCAAGGGGAAGTCACGTCGGCAACGCGCGCCATCCGTCGGCGGAGAGGGGCGACGGGGCAGGGCCTAGGGAGAGGGGGGGAGTGAGGAGGAAACAGGAGGACAAGGACGGGAGGAGCTGAGGGCCATGTTGTGAGACAGGGCAAAAGGCGAGCCGAATCGAAGAGACGACTCCTGCGGGGCCCCAGCGAGGCCCCGCAGCACATGCTTCTGCGCCCTGACGACTGTCAAGAGCTGCGATGTTTCGGCGGAGATAAGGGGGGGTGACGCACGTTGGGCCGACGCGCGTTCGGATGATCATCGATCGATTTTCGCGCTCTCGAAAGAGACCCCGCGGGACCCACCTCGAGGCAATGCTTGTCGGAAAAACGCGCGGGGGTATCTCTTGGGAGACTTGGAACTGTCGGAAATGGAAACGCGCTGCGTCCTGTGGGTTTTGGTCGTCGAGCGCCTCCTGCAGCAATTTGAAATATCGGAGGTCGACTCGGGGACATGCCTGGAACATTCTGAAATTTCGCGCATGGCAAAGGAATTTCTTTGGAGTGTCGTCAGAACTCGCAGAGTACACTGGCGCATCTTTGAGGCATGCCAAACATTCGCAAGTGGCCCATGGATATCCTTAGAAAAATGGAAAGTTCGCAGATAGCACTGGCATATCTTTGGGGTGCTCTGACATTTCGCCGACGACATTGGCGCGCCCGTGGAGAATTCTCGAACTCCGCAAATGTCGCTGGAATACATTGAGGAGATGACCGGGTAAGTTTGGCATATGTTTGGACTGTTCGTTGAACGAGTGAAATCATCGGAAATAGTTCGTGAATATTTGAAATCTGCGGGATGTATGGTTGGAGTATGCGGCGCGCGCGTTGTGCCTGAAATCCTCCAGCGGAATATTTTGCCGGTCGGCGAGCGCGCAACATCCCGTGCCGGAGTATGTTGTTAACTCGCGGGGT